TGGTGAAAGGCCTGGAGGGGAAGACGTACGAGGAACGGCTGAGGGCACTGGGCCTGTTCAGCCTGGAGAAGAGGAGGCTGAGGGGAGACCTCATCGCAGTCTACAACTTCCTCGTAAGGGGGTGTCGAGAGGCAGGAGACCTTTTCTCCATTAACACCAGCGACAGGACCCGCGGGAACGGAGTTAAGCTGAGGCAGGGGAAGTTTAGGCTGGACATCAGGAAGGGGTTCTTCACAGAGAGAGTGGTTGCACACTGGAACAGGCTCCCCAGGGAAGTGGTCACTGCACCAAGCCTGACTGAATTTAAGAAGAGATTGGACTGTGCACTTAGTCACATGGTCTGAACTTTTGGGTAGACCTGTGCGGTGTCAAGAGTTGGACTTGATGATCCTTAAGGGTCCCTTCCAACTCAGGATATTCTATGATTCTATTATGGTAGAGCTGTTTTCATTTATCAGTAGCAAATTTACATGAATTAGAATCCTGGAAACTGGAAGAAAATTAAAGCTGTAACTTACTAATTTAAAGCAATGGAAGTAATACTTTCTGATGTCCTGACTTATTTCAGATTATAGCTATAAATTCTGTAATAAATCATAGTGGCCATAGTACAATTTTGGTTATTTTGTCTTGTTTCTGGGCTGAAAAATATGAATATCATCTTAAAGGAGACCATCAGACACGAGGAGAAGCAATGAAGAAGCTGTATGCAATATGTCAAAAAATCATAGCAACCCCTCAGAATAAAAAAAGGAAAGCATGAGGTAGCTAATGTGTTGATGTTTTTTAAAATGCTTTTAAAAATGCAAATACAACAAATCACTGAGGATTCGAAGCAGATGTAAAATGACAGCAAAAATGCTAACAAGATACCCTAATTTTGAGGGTATTTATAAGCCTTAGGAATGAAATAGCAAATGTTAAGCAAATAGACATTGTGAAGACGTTACAAGTAAGAGAACAGGAAAAAAAAAACTGAAAAATACATTCACAGTAGATGAAATTACAGAAACTGAAGTGGCTGAAGGTGAAGCACTGAGAATGACACTGTACTCATGCTGCTTCACCCCACTGAATGGCAAGTTACTAAGAGTGTGAAGTAAAAGAACTTTTGGTGCGATTTAGCATGATTTAAATATCACTGTATCTGCTAAACATTGCTAGTTGTTATGTACTCCAAGAAACAACTCCTCACAAGGATAAGAAAAGTAAGTGTCTGAGAGAAGGATTACTCTTGATAATTACGACTTGATCACCTCTGTGATGAAATGACATCTTGGCAGATAAAAGGAGAACAGTGGATATTGCCCACTTAAACTTCAGGAGGGCTTTTGGCACAGCATCCCATTAGAACCTCTTGGAGAAGCAGCTGAAATATGGGCTGGGTGGGCCAACAGCGAGGTGGACTGAAAATGTGCTGAACAGCCAGGCCCAGAGGGAGGTGATCAGTGGTACAGTCTCACTGGAGGCCAGTAACAAGCAGAATACCCTGGGGGTCAATAACGAGTCCCATTTAACATCTTTGTTAATGATGTATGTGATGCAGCAGCATGTTTGCAGATGACCCCAAACTGCCCAATGCACCAGAGGGCTGTGGTGCCACCAGAGGGACCCCAGCAGGCTGGAGACATGGGCTGACAGGGACCTCATGCAGGTCAGCAAGGGAAAGGGCAGAGTCCTGCACCTCAGGGGAGGAACAGCCCCAGTACTGGGTTGGGAACGGTCAACTGGAAAGCAGCTCTGCAGAAAGGGCCTGGGGTCCTGGTGGGCAGCGAGCTAAACACAAGCCAGCACCAGGCTTTTGTGGCAGAGAACGGTCTCTTCCTCCATGGAGATACTCTAAGGCCTCTTAGACATGGTCCTCAACCATTCTGTGATTACAAAGCCCCTTTGACTTTTTAAGTCCCAGAAGACCCAAAGACTTACAAAGTCCTGAAGACTAAGGTGAGAAAGGGAAAGAAAAAATGCACATCTAAAGTGTTTTCTAAATTAGTGAGAGAAAGAGCATACCTGACACATGAGAAAGGAATACAGCAAATCTACTTAAGTCAGAAATAAACATTTTAAGGTCTCAAAAGGCTTTATTGATGCAAATGATGTCTTAAAAGTAGTACATACTGTTACAGGTTCAGAAGTTTGGGAGTTTTAGCTGAGAGAAAAAAAAAAAGGTATTAATAGTTGGAGACTCATAACCATTACTACTGTATTTATTTTGCTCTTTGTAGTCTTACTAGTAAGTTATGTTTCATCTATCTTACAATGCATCCTTTTCTATCTTACTGTTAGTAACACTCACCATTTCATAAAATTCTATTGATGTTCTGTGGAAGATAGCAATGAGAATACTTCTCTATTTGATAGATGGGTAACTGAGATAAAAATAAAGAACCAGCAATTTGCCCAGAAAGATCGATGGTAGACTTGACAGTGGTGTCCACCCGCGCAAGCTGTGGGCCATTAGCTAACCAGTGGCCCATGATTCCTCTCTTGGTGCTCATGTACAGGGTGGCAGCTTGAGTAGTATCATTCTGTGACCCATTGCCTGGTAACAGACAGTTTGAAAATCACTTTCCTGAAGCAAAACTGTTTTGTCTGTGTTTTTTTTTTCAGGAGATCTAATGTTAATTTATGTATATGTGTATTCAAAATACAATGTCACAAGCTCTACCAGTTTGATTTTCTTGGAAGTGTACTTGTAAATTTCTAGTAATGATGAAAAATGCTTCCTCTAGGTGACTCTAAAAGAAACAGAAAACTGGTACAAACAAAACAGGCAAAAACTATGTGAACTGAGTGTAATCTTTGCATACAAGCAAAGACTGTGTACTATGTTCTATGTATTTTCCCTAATAATCAGGTTTATATATGAGGAATACACCTAAAAAGAGCTCATTACTTAGGTTTTTCTAAATAACTTGTTTAAATACTAGGTCTGACATAGGTAAGGAGGTGTTCTTGATATTAATTAACTCCATGAATTTTCTTTCAGATATAACTTTTACTTATTTTTACTGTTCTTTACTTACTACTTTTTCCACTACTCATGTGCATCTGTCACAAAATTTAGACTAAATGAAGTAAAATGACCAAAAAAAAACCACACCTCATAATTAAAGTATGATTGGAACTTCAGCTATAAATTCTTGAAGTTTCATGGTGATACATTTTACTTGAATATAAGCAATAATAATTTGATTTTGTTTTACAGACCTCTTACTTTCACTGAACAGTATATCATGCTAACATCAAACTGTATACCGTGGTGCATATTACACAAGCATATCTTCAGCTGGAAATGGTGATTTCAGGTGTTTTTAAGTGGTACATCTTCTCTAGCTGCAAGAATAATTGCACAGAGCATCATGCTAGAGATACATAAATGTTCTTATTGGTAGAAATCTTGTGTGAGTCAGCTACAGTTTAAATGTTTGGATCTATTTTAATAACTACCCTGAAACAAAGGCTCTGTCTACATAACACAAAATGCAGTGCAATATCAATATGGATCAAATGATCAAAGTAGTTGTAGACATAAAAACTTTAACATATATATATATGGATCAAGACTTCTACTTCAGACTAAATTCAGTTTGGGCTTCTGTGCTGGATGTCACCACCATTCATAGTGTTTGAAGCTGTCGTTGGTTCAGACCCTTTTTTCTGCTTTAGGTGTGGAGACAAATTTGGTGCACAACTTCTTCCTTGGACATCTTCCAAAAATGATGTAGTTTCCATGCACCAAAATCTGTCTTCAAAACCAATGTGCATTAAATGCTCAGGGGATTCGCTTCAAAACTGTGCTACAGCTCCAGTCCAAAGCATGAAAGCTAATGTAGTTATCATGGAATATTAGCTGTTTAAGCTGGAAACAAACACTGTAAATTTAGTTTTAAAATACTTTGCCCATGAATTGTAGGTAGCATTACGGATTAAATTTTATTGTTTTAACTCTTTTTTTTTTCCTCCTAAAAATTCTGTGAACTTCATGGATAGTTGTGGTGGGTTGACCTTGGCTGGCTGCCGGACACCCACCCAGCTGCCCTCTCACCCCGCTGCTCAGCAGGACAGGGGGAGGAAGTAAGATGACAAAGCCTGTGGGTCAATTAAAGGACAGGGAGATCACCTACCAAATACCATCACAGCCAAAACATACGTGACTTGGGGAACTTCAATTCAATTTATTAACAAATAAATTAGGTTTGGATGGTGACAGACAAAGACAAAAACTAGCACTCCTTCCCCCCTGACCTCCCCTTCTCCCAGGGCTCAACTTCACCCCTTCCTTCCTGACTCCTCTACTTATCCTCACCCCACAGGCACCGCAGGAGGATGGGGCATGGGGGCTGTGCTCAGTCCGTCCCAGCTTTGCTCTGCTAATCCTTCCTTCTCACACTTTTCCCCTGCTGCTGTGTGGGGCTTCCCACAGGCTGCAGTCCTTCAGGAGATGCCCAGCTGCTCCGCCACGGTCTCTCCGCTGGCCACAGGGGAACTTCTGCTGTGGCACCTGGAGCACCTCCTGCCCTCCTTCTGCAGGGCTGGTTCTCTCACACTTGCTCCATGCTCCTCTCCCCCACAAGCACCATTTTCTTCCTTTCTTAAACCCGTTTCCCCAAGGCATCTGGGCTGTGGGGCCTGGCCATGCCCTGTGGTGAGGCCGCTGGAGCCGTCAGGAACCGGCTGTGTTGGTATGGGGCAGCCCCGGCCTCACCCCATGCATCAGCCCCACAGCCCCCTGCCAGCACCAGGGCACCATGATCAAGGCATTGACCAGGCACAACAGCCTCACCTGTGCTCATTTCATCAATGAACTGGTGACGATGACATACTTGCTTTTACTGGCCTGTGAAGGTGACGCGGTGACATACTTGCTTTTACTGGCCAGTTCAGCTGTGGTAGAAAAGACCTAATGATCCATTTCATGTTGTTCTTCACAGTTTCAATGCTCTTAAGGATTTTCAAATTTGTAAAAATGTTGTGGTTTCTATCTTGTTCTAACCTAGAGACCTGGCTGCAAGGAACTGCTTGGTAGGTGAAAGCAACATACTGAAAATAAGCGATTTTGGAATGTCTCGTCAAGAAGATGATGGAGTGTATTCATCATCAGGCTTAAAGCAGATTCCTATCAAGTGGACTGCCCCAGAAGCCCTCAACTATGGTAAGGATGAATGTGTACCTTCTTGCAAAAACACCTATAGCATGAGAAGATAGGATGAGAAGGGCTCAAGGCTCAAGACAAGGACAGGGAGATGGCTCCCCAGTTGCCATCATGGGCCAAACAGACTCAGGGAATGGAGACTAATATAATCTATTGCCTATCCATAGCAGATTAGAGCAGTGAGAAACTAAAAGCAAACTAAAAGAGGCCACCCCTGCAGCCCCCTGCTACCAAAGCCTTGCCACATAAACCCAATACAAATGCTCTGTTCAAATAAAAATGTTTCAAATATGCTAATGTGTAGTGAGGCTAAATATTTTAACCTCATTTGTGTGTAAAATACTGTTCCACACTCCAAAAGAAGTTAGCAACATCAGAATTGTTATTATGTAGCAATAAAATAATGCTCTGGTTATGTTGCCAACTGATTCTAGTGGCTGGCCTAGTTTGTCATCTAAATCATTAGCAAAATGAGTGGCAGGTTCTGCATATTTATGGCAGTGATTACTCTAGCATTTCTTTGAAAATGGTAGAAAATGTTAGTATTCCACGTTAGATAAGTCATTGCATTTGAGAGGACTAAAGTCACTGCTTTATATATTTTTTTCAACTGCAGCTTTTCTTTACCTCCACTTTTATAAATTGCTATGCTGTTATCATGGATGAAAATGCCATTATTTTTGCTTAAGGGAAGTGGTCCTTACTATGTGGGTAGTTTTTCCAAAACAAAAATAGAAACTGCTGTATTTAGCTTTTTAGCTTGCAGGTGGAACTAGAAAAAATTAGATTTTCTAGGTGTGCTGTGAAGAATCAGCATATTAAATGAATGATGTCGTACTCTGAATGCATTTCTCCCAACCAGATCTTTACTTGATTTCTTAGAAAAAAAAATGTTTTAAATACTTTATTTGAAACATCTGTAAATATTCCTATGATCTCTTAAAGCTTCTGTTTAAACTCATGGATTGGAAATCATAACTTTATGGCTCACAATTGAGAGCAAAATGCTTCACTTCATTAACAGTTTTGCAGGAGTTAATGCCATTACATAGTAAGCTGATCTTCCTTTTGTAAGGCTAAAAATAAATGTAGTTACACTAAGAGAGCTTATAGTATCAATTATTCTCAGAGGTGCTAATGTTGCTAGTGTTTACTGTGTAATACACTTTCTCTTCTGTGTGTTTTTTTTTCTACTACAACTGGTGTTTTGAAAGTTGAAATAATTTTCATTATTTCAGACGTGCATACGGTTTATTTGATATATATGATAGAAACATAGTGTTTATAGGCATATGCAGTCCAGTGAACTACATAAAGAAGGAAACTGTCTTACATGACAACACGTTAATTTTGAGGGTATTTTTATGCAGATTACTGGGCACAAAACTGCAGCTGATTAAAATCAAATTGGTGTTTCCTAAAATGCATCTGTATCCAACCAGTTTTAAGTGATTTTCTGTAGCATTTTGAAAAAAAGTTATCTCGAACATTTCTGAATGTGTTCAGCAGTCTCATATTTAACTTTCAAAATGTGGTAGTAGGTTTCTGGGTGTTTTTGAAGGATCTTCTTTTCTTCTCAATAGAAAGATGCAAGTAGAAATATTTGTTTTGCATTTTACAATCCTAATAATGTGGTCCTAAGTACTGCATTCATTTGTGTAGGTAACACTGAAGGTATTTAAGGATACCAGACTGAAACAGAACTAAATCTTCAATATTTCAAAACTACTTGGCAGCCACTCTTTGTGCTATTTCATAGTGGCAAAATTTAAAGGTTGGAAGATGAGGGGTTGGGTAATTTTCCCATCACATGAATGATACAGTGTTTAAGAAAATAAGAAAAATTTGGTTTTTAATCACCTTTGAATTCATACTAAACAACAAATTAATAGTAGCTCAAAAAAAGGAAACAAACAAACAAATAAAAAAAACAAACAAGCAAAACAAAACAAAGGAAAAAAAAAAAAGAATTTGTGAATTCTGGAAATTGGATTAGGAGAAGTGGAGTGGTTAGAGAGTTGTGCCTGAAAACATAATGAAATCCTGATGCTTCTGAAGTTTGTGGAAGACTGAACCTCAGCTTCAGTGGGTACTGTTCAGTGCCATTCCTTAACATTATTTTTGCTTGGAGCTACATGATTCCCATCACTTTCAGCAAGTGGAAAAACTGCTTTAAAAGCTCTTAATAAAGATAAGATATATATGTCAAGTGTAGGATATTTTTGCTTATGGTTCTCTCAGAATTCAAATACACATTTAGAAGTTATGTTTTTTGAGTACAACTTCATGTTGTTTGTTATGTTAATAAATCACTGCTTTTTTTTTCTATGTATGAATAAGCTTTTTTTTTCCTTTTTCTCTTTTTTTCCCCCAGATAATAGCATAGCTGGAAGGCTAATTAACAGTGAAAAACATGTATTTTCTTTTTTTATTTATTTATTTTAGTTTTTAAAAAGCTAATCACCTATCTTGTATTTACTGAATGATTTCAATGAAAAGTGTTAAATTACTGGATGCCAAACTCTGAAGAGAGTTGATATGTAGACAAGAAAACTAATCTTGCAGCAAAGAGCTTAGTGAATGTCCATAATTACCATCTACTAGGCACACTAGCAAATGTAGCACAGCTGGAAGTGATACTTAGTTTACAGTAAACTGAACTTTCTGATGTCAGAACAGTTGTCGTACCATGAACTGTCATGACAATTTACATGTGTTTTCCTTTTTTCTAGTGAGAAGTGGCTTAGTTTGGTTTGTTTAGTGGTTGGACATGAACAAACAATACATTCTCAAGCATGCATATAATTTTAAGAACAAAGGCATACACAATATAATAGTATGCAGCAGAAATACACACATCAAAGCTGATGAAAGAAATATGGTAAATGGATTTTTAAGTTAATGTTTTCATAGGTCCTGCTGCTGCAAAGGTCTTGCAGCCTTCACTTTGTGATGCAGTACCTTTCTTAATGTGAATCCAACAGGGACAACGGTAGTATTTTCTCCAAGATCTCACCTTCCATAACATAAAGCTTTAATTACACAAAGAGGTTTGGAATTCAGTTATTTATTTTTTTTCTGTCTCTGAAGCATAGTTGAAAACAGTAGAACCAGCAGGCCTGATGTTTTCTTTTCTTTTCCTTTAACTGATTGGGAGCATCAGTTCTTCAGGGTCCAAATTAAACAACAATTGAAGAAACTATACATTAATTTTCAGAAAGTATTTTCTCAATTAAGAATCCGATGTTCTCTGGGCAATTTTGGCGACATCAGCTGTGGTTGGAATATGCCATGCTATATTAGGGAAATGGGAAAGGTAATTTCTAAGAAGTATCTTTAGAGTTGAAGTGAAGGTGTGTGATCTTTTTGATCTTTTTTTTTTTTTTTTTGTGTGTGTGTGTGTGTTAAAAGAAGAACAAAATTCGTTTTGGACAGTAAGAGGTAAAGAATTCTTAACTTATAAGGAAATAACTGACATGGTAAGGTCTTCTCAGCCATATGCTGTATGTAACAAGTCGGTCAAACTTCTTAAAACTTCAAGTCAGCTTATATTATTCCTAGGTATTGACCTTAAGATAACTTGTTTACCATTGTAAATGCTGGAGACCATGATACTTGCAGAATGTTTATTTAGTAGCTGCAACTTTGTTCTGCTTAAAGCTTGCTAATATAAAACTTGACAAAAAATATGTGGCTGTAATCATCTGAAGCATGAATTTCTGTAAAGGATAAGCTGTGTGTTTTCTCCTTTCCTCAGGGAGATATACATCTGAGAGTGATGTATGGAGCTTTGGAATCCTCCTCTGGGAGACCTTCAGTTTAGGAGTATGCCCATACCCTGGAATGACCAATCAACAAGCACGAGAACAAGTTGAGAAAGGTAGGGAATGAATAAAATGCTGTATAATCCATGAGGATGTAGTACATACCGTATAAAAATAGCAAAGAAATAGCATATCAGTTGCTCAGCAATTTTATCAACAATATTATGAGATTATTTAATTGCTAAATCTGGCATTCTGTGAAGAGCAGTCTGATTTATAGATTTCTTGAAAAAAGCAGTATATTGACCAGTGACTTAAAGGAGGAAAGACTTACATCATGTTATGTGTATATAGAACATATATAACTAAAAGGTGAGATGGAGAAGTGGATTTACTGCTGTGCAAAGCAGAGGCTTGACCAGAATGAATTATTTAAGATTATGCTAATGCAGGTATAAATATTCTAAACTGCTGGAAGAAAAAGTCTGTATCATTCCATCTTCTCTATTAAAGCATTACAGACAAAATTCTAGCAATTACAGTGGAAAATGGTAAGCTGCTTGAGCAGTGAGAGCCATATTTCTCTCCTAGAAAATAATCAAAAGGCTTTTATTTAAAGTAGCAAATAACTGTGAGCAGGGTTTCAGGACTTTGATTTATTGTCATCATTTTTATTGACATTTCAGAACTGTGCTTCCTCTATATGTGTAAACAGGTTCTAAGCAAGTAAAACTGCTAAATAATTTTAAAAGAAGTCTTTTTATTATTATTATTATTATAATCACTGTAGGTGACCACTAAAGCTTGTCCTTAAAAGGCCAAAGAAAAAAATCTAGTCGTTTCCAGAGCAGAAGCATATTTGTAAAAGCACGTTTTATTACCTAGTTACTGAGATTCTGTTTGAATCCACTGAGAAGAAAAATCTCTCAAAATTGGTACAATTCAGAAATTAAGAATTATATAATGCCTATTCAGTTTTTTATATTGTAGGAAAAGCATTCCTTTTAGCCTATTTTTTTTGTCATTTATTGTATCAGCCTATTTTCTTGGTTTTCACAAAATTATAGCTTTTCTGTTTGAATAGTCAGAGAAAAAAATGCTCTAGCTTTTCTTCCTGATCTTGTCTGTCTCAATTACTCAATCAGTAAGAATCATCAGTAAATTTAGCCACCTTAATGCTTGTGTTGAACCGGGATAATTTCAATCCTAAATGACCATACAGAATCACTTCATTTTAAGAACAAAAAGAAGTTGTTGCCATCACTGTTTTGAACAATTAGTTTCTAGAGGCAACTTTGTGAAGAAGAGAATTTTTAGCGAGTTTCATATTATCTGTAAGTATCCTAAAGCCTGGCTGTTCTCCTTTGAAGTCGCATGCATTAATCCAGCACCTCGAGCAGAAGCATATGATATAAAAAAAAAAAAGAAAAATAGTTCTTAGATTTACCTCTTGTCTGAGTCTACTGTCATTTATATTCTGATTTAGAAAGAGAGATACGGAGAATTGTGCAGTAAGCCTGGAGTCACAGAGCTGCATTAGCTGTAGGGTCCTTTGTACCAGCTCACTGTGCTGTCCACTGCCTGGTCTGGCTGCTCAGCACATTTTCAGTGCACCTCACTGTTGGCCCACCCAGCCCATATTTCAGCTGCGTCTCCATGAGGTTTGAATTGGATGCTGTACCAAAAGCCCTACCGAGGGTTAGGTGGGCAATACCCGCACTTCTCCTTTTATCTACCCATATCTGAATAGTTATCAATGATTTTTCCAGTGGGTTGGAGCATTGGGTGACATGACAGGATTAAAACTTATGAGGGGTAACTGCTTCTTAAGATACAGGAAAAAAATTATATGTAGGTTGCTGCCCTCAGCAATGAGAGGCATACTGGCAATTCATCCTATACAGATTAAATGTCATTGGTACCCAAGTTTACATCAGTTTGATACTTAACCATCCAAATGGGTTATGTATTGAAGACTTTGTGTGTATTACAAGTCCTGTAAAATTTACCCTCAATATCTGTTTTAATTCAATGGTCTTGAACTTCTCTCGTTTCTTTTTAGATTCATCAATATGTATCAGTTTTCAATACTAAACACTTTATTTTCTTGTGTACCAGGTTACCGAATGTCAGCTCCGCAAAAATGTCCGGAAGAAATATATAAAATAATGCAGAGGTGCTGGGACTACAAACCAGAAAACCGTCCAAAATTCAGTGAGATTCAGAAAGAGCTATCTTCAATCAAAAAGAAAGTGACATAGTGATATACTGGTGCCAAACTCAATGTGTGGGACTTTATTTTCCAGTATTTTCTCCCCTCAAACACTATGCGTTTATACAACATTATTTGCAATATTCTTCTAGGATTACTTTGAAATTAACTGTTTTTTTAATATACATGTGTGCCATCTTGAACGATGTCTACACCTGCATTAAGGACATATACTGCCAAATGCTATATATCCAGTCACAGTAATATTGTCATTTAGGTTACATGTAAATAGGAAAGCACATACTATAGATTTAAGGGACTGTGGCTTTTATGTGTTTTACAGCAAGTAACTGCTAGTGACATTTTTCACAGTTTTTCTACTTAACGCTGTGTTCTCACTCTGCTATCCCTGTCCCAGATGTCAACACCAGCGGCACTCTAACATGGTGACTGTGTCATGCATGTTGGCCTTAAAACTGAAGACAGTTTTGACAAGTATTTCAACTAGAAACTTTTATATTTTTCAAATTCTTTCTGCAACTGATATTTTTAAATGACAGTTTGTTTCAACAGTAAAGGTCAGTTAGGTTCTGGATGTAAGTCTGCTTACTAAACAGTGAAATCCAGAATTTTCTTTTGTAGGAAATTGTTACATGTCCATTTTCTACCATGCTATAATACGTATTTCTGACTTTTGATGTGATTTGCTTCTACTTCCTATGAAGTCATCAAAATTCAGTAATATGTCTCTTTTACAATTGCCTATGTTTATTTAAGAAACGACAACAACAAAAAAATCAAGTCTTTACTACACGAAAGACTTAAGAAATTTCTTAAGTTAAGAAATACTGCAAATCACCTGTCTTCCAAAGAACATGTAAAAACAGTAGGCCAGCAGAAAGAAGTTTGCTAATGATAGCAGCATGTATTAGGTGACCAGTAATAGCATTGTTCTTAGAGAAGTTAAAGAATGTGAATTGCTAGATTTGCTTTTGATCCTGATTTTTTTCATTAAATTGGTAATAATTCTCAGTATGCAGCTAAACCTTAAGGCTTTGCTAAGCAAAAGTACATTCCATGCATGGTGTACAAAGGAAAACACTATGTCTGTATAGCATTAGGAGTCATTCATGAAATCAAAAGAAGGAAGTATATTTTAAGCCTCTGGCAGGCTGAACAAAGAAGAGAAATACTAACCTTCAAGAGATTTCAAAAGATGGGGATAGGCAACTTGTAAATGCCACCAGGAATTAAAAAATATATTTAAAAAAATGTTTAAAAAAATAAAAAAAAAATAAAAAAAATAATAAAAAAATGGTTCCTCATTATAAGACAGTAGATGGGGGAAAGAGGAAAGGTACAGTTTATTGCTCTGGCTTTGTGTCCTTTTTCTAGCTTGGATTATTTTCTAGGGCCCTATGTAGAAATAGGAACAAGTTACAGAACCCTGGTCTGAGTTCCAGATTTAAGGTGCTTAAAATTTCTTTATGAATTACCTAAAACATCCAGATCAAGAGATGTCCATTACTGCTAGTGCAAGTAAGAAACAGAGACTGAAAATAACACAGCATCTGGAATGTTTATTACCCCTATACTTGACTGTTACCATGGGATTGAGATGTAGTGAAGTCTGGCTACATTACATTGTTATTTCTATTAAGTTGACTTTTCTATGGTCCACAGCATTTTTGCTCTTTAAAGTGTATTTGTGGTAGTACCGAGTGATAATTTTTAAGGGCTTTGCGTGACCAAAATATGTGTAGTCTGGAAGAGTTTGTTACATTGGAGTTAGTGTCCAAAAAAAACAAAGAATGAGCATGCTGTAGCACCTCACCTGCATTTGAGGTGGAACTGTCAGCAACCAAATATAAGGAATGGGGAATGCTTGGATTTCTGAAGGGATTTTTTTCTTGGAGCTAAGGAAGCAAATATATACCCCTGAAGGTATAGTACTTGAAAAACTTGATGGCCTCAGTGTAAACCCCCTTGCCAGCATACTGGACATATTTTCTTAGTGCTACATTTCCAAGTAGCCCAAAGATATTTTCAAGAGCAGTGGGAAGCATTCTTGTTAGTTTGTATGCTTTCAAGTATTACATAAAGTTTGTGCCTTAATTTGCTAGTATGCTAATGCAAATGTAAGTGCACTAAGATTTAAGAACTGCACCACAAAAGTACAGAAAAATCCCTGTCCCAACCCCATGATTAATTCAACTGCAGGACATTATGTATGCATCACTAAAGTCTGCAAGTAAGGATAATGGTGTCTTCTCTGTCAACATTCATTGCTTCTCTGGAGAGTTGATATTCTTCTTCTATGAAGAGAATTATTTCTTCACTATATAACCTTGCCAGGAAAAAAAAAAAAGTATTTTTTAAGTAAAATACTTCTTTGTTTGTCTTAAATTAACTAGTGACCATCCTAACTATCACATGCAGATAAGGAATACATTCATATTTTATTCTGAAAGGGTTAACATTAGTAATTCATATCACACTGCCATTTAAATTTAAAGTCTGTAAAACAGGGGGTTTATATAGCAGCAAGATGTATTATTACTGCTGAAGTAAGCATCAGTTCAGTTAAAAAACAATCGCTTTTTGGGAGAATACCAGAAAGAGTTTATAGGTATAAAATAAATTTAAACACATTATGTGTTCTGGTTTTTGGTTTGTGTTTGTTTTGTTTTGTTTTGTTTTGTTTTTCCTTGTAATTAATTTAGCAGTGTTTGTGGCAGAATTTGTTCCTCATGTCTCGCTTATAATTTTTGCCATTATACACTTTAGGAAATGAAATCCATAACTGTGGAAAATTTTTTAAGTTTCTGCAAACTTCTTGCAGGGCAATTTCCAAACTTTAATATTTAAGACAGACATGGTATTTAGGAACCACAGCTGCCATATGTGCTTGCTGTGAACTTTTGATGACCGAAGTCTTGCATTATTCAGAGTTTTCCAAGGTACTGATCATTTGGTTTGTGTGCTTGGTTTGCTCTAGAGAGTGTACAAAAAATGGGTTAGTCTCTTTTGGAAGCATGGTATTTCAAGTAGGTTCTTACACCTGCACTCAACCAGGCAGAGTCCAAGGGAGCTCTGAATGGTGTGTGCTGCTTAGGAGGAAGGACTCCAAATACTGCTAAGGGTCTGCTATAGGAGATGGAACTCAACAGGTTATCTGTTATTTTCATCTTTTTTTTTTTTTTTTTTTCCCCTGAGGAATTGCATTCATTGTTGTTTTTTTTTTTTGGTTGTTTTTTTTTTTTTATTATTATTGTTCTGAAGACATGCTTACTTTCAGTAGTTTTCATCAGAAATTGAGCCCAGATGTAAGCTTCAGAGTTCAGTCATCAGTGAAACCATGAGGATTCCTAAGCATTTCAGTTCTATGGGAAGTAAAATATTGAAAAGCATCATGTCTGAAAACAAACTTTACTCCAGCAGAGGTATGACCTTTCAAAATCAGCACTCCACCAAGACATTCTCCTTGAAATTTACAGCTTCTTTAGTTTCTAATGAAAGCAATGAAGTAATTTTGCATTTAACATCTAAAGTTATGTTGCATTTTTTCTTCTCAACTTCAGCAAAGATCTACCATTTTATTGAGTTACTTAATATTTTAACATTGTTTTTGGAAAGCATATCACCATAAGGCTATCAGTAAGAAGTGCAGTTTGTAAAGTGAGTCTCATCCTATTTATGTGAGTGAAATAGAAGACTAGTTAAGGAAATAATAGGTTGTTTTTTAATTCATGTTTTTAATCACCTGCTGTACTTACATCCTAGGAGCACATCAGTAAAGATTCCTATGAAGTTATATATTTGTTATCTGTTACAGCTATTTTAACCATTTTGTTATGCCTTTTGCACCCATTGCAAAGATACTAACAACAACAAAAAGCATACCAAAACAACAACAAGACCAAAAAAAAAAACAAAAAAAAACAAAAAACACCACTTCTGACGTTACACAGAGTAACCAAAGCTCAGAAACATTTGAAAATGCCTCCTTCCTCCCCAGCTTTTCCCAGATGTGTGGCTGCATGGATAGTAACAACAGTGATTAACTGGTAGGCCGGTTTCCATTATTCTTACTGTCATGTCCTCTAAATGGCAGTGCTGCTGATGCACTTTCAACTGTGAGCTATTTGAAGAGACGAGTTAGTGTGTGAATAGTCATCACATTTGATATTTGAGAGCAGTAGTTCTGAAAATGGCTGGTTGTCACAAGTAGTGATAACTCATTTTAAAGGTGGAATAAAAAGAAAGAGGCTAATTGGGAACATCCACTTTTTTGTAACAGCTGTCCTGTTTGTAGGTGACAGAAGTGTTTGGTATGCCTGCGCACTTGTATTTGTAACATTTTTATGACTAAGCATAAAGCAGTTTAATATTAAAATAAGAGTTCACCAATTATTTTCTTTTTCCTAAAGCAAAAAGGGACGTGTGGTATTTGTTGGAGGCATTCTTGCTAGGCAGGTTAGAATAATGTGGAGGGAAGAATGCAGGGAGGAATACCTCTTCTACCAAACAAGATACTTTCTGTCTTCTCAGAATTATCAGGAATAAAAAAATAAATAAATACATAAATAAATAATAATTAGTAATTAGAAAGTCCAAGGGATGTCCAGTATTCCTGAAGTTCCAAACAACCTAGTAAATCTGAAACGTCAGCTCTAGTAAAAGAGTTCTCTTCTATTTTCCTTCTGCAGAAATTACTACAAAAAAATTGAGTTCTTGAACATTCAGCAGTAACTGTGTAAGGAAAAATGCATCAACCTCAAAACCTATCCACTGTACATAGAAATAACATCAGTAAGGAATATTATTTATAGTCTTATACTATAATTCTCCCAGGATAGTGTTCCCTCCTCAAAGGCTACAAAATAAAATTAAAAAAAAAATAAAAAATAAAAAGCTTAAAAATCAGAAAGTTTCCAGTTGAAAACACAAGAAACCAGGGTCAAATTCTGAATGCTCGTTCTAGTACTGCCACTGAAAAAGATAATGCATCTGTGATTTCTAGCTCTGTCCATTTTTCAGCCTTGCATATTTGTAGATTATTAACACCCAACTTCACTAGCAGACCCAGAAAGTAAAGACTGCTTCAGTGAAAAGCACAGCAAGTTAAGCTTAGCAGTTCCCACATTTTCCCCACTATTACCCATACTTACAAAAAAAAAAGGGGGGGGGGGGAGATAAACAGGGCTCGCAAATACAGTTGACTGAGGTCACAAAGTAAAAACACAGAGGTGCCATTACATCCTTTTTTCATCTGTCATCGTATTTACAAAGTTCAATGCTTTGTAAATAGAATTTGCAATAATTGGCTTTGTGTTTAGACATAAAGATGAACTGTGAACCAATGTAGTATCATAGGACTCACACTGCTGCTACCTGCAAGAAGGCTTGGAAAAAGTGTTCCTAACTTGCAACTGTTTGGAATTGCCATCTAGTTTAGAACTACAGCAGTTTGTACTACGTAATCAAGTATGTAACTGAAGTTTTGTAGTGCGTAATCAAGATCAAGTATAAAGCCGATGTTTTGTTAGTAGGGTAGGAGAGACAGCACATGCTTCTCCATGCTTCCCTTCATAAATTTAAGGCAATTCTGCTTTTTAAAAGAAAACAAGCAAACAAACAAAAAATAAACAGATTGGTCATAGATTCCTTCTATATTACAGATGTTGAAAATATTGGACACAATTTTTCACCACTTAAAAAAAAAAAAAAATATATATATATATATATATACACATTATTATTTTCATATATAGTCAGCTCAGTCTTTCCCAATATACGAAGAATTCTGTAATTATTAAATCTAGTAAGAATATGAAACACTTTTCTTACTGGTATGTAAACTAGCTCACTCCAATCCTGTGCTTCAATTATTAAAGAATCTTTCTGCCCTTCACAAAGGGGTGCAAGAGGTTAATAAATCTGTCTGAGCTCTGCTGTAATAATCTGGCCCTTTGCAACTCCAAACTGTTTCTTAATTCTGATGATGCCATGTAGCACACATGGTGCCTTTGCACTTACTACAAGAATGTTACTGTTGTAACAGAAAAGTTCAAATATATCCCTGTTTTTGCTTGACTCAAAAATATTATATTGATGTTGTACCTTGATTCCCGTGGCAACGTGTTGATATGAAAATTGAAGTAACTGTGAAGGTGAAGCACATTGTTCAAATCATGTTTCTAATCAAGTTACAGACCCTGGATGTATCATGAATTGTACGTATCATAAAAGACATCAAAAAAGCAACATTTCTGACTGCCTGGTTTGTGACACAGAGCATCCTGCTCTTATTGGGAAAAATACGAGCCTAGTTGTGCTCCTGGAAAAAGGATTGATTTGGCTGTCAGACTAGACTCAAAACACTATCTTTGAAATTAGTAACAATGATTTAATTCCAACTAAGCCTCACCATAAACAAGCCTTTTAGTTACAAGAAATTTCCAAAGAGTGTTAATTTTCATTATTGTTATCCATTTTGGTTTGAGAAATTTGACTTCTGTCTGTAACATTTACTTGTACCGGTAATTATACCCCGCTACCAACAAAAGCTAAGGCTTGCAACTTCAGAAGATAAGCACTGATCTGTCAGTAAAGGTCTGTAGGGAGTTAGTTCTCTAGGTGTCTAAGTTGATATTTTAATGCATTTTAAATATCAGAAAAGTAATTGTTTCAGCAAAAACCTGTTATGCAGTTTCAACAGCAGTATTCCTTCTACAAAATATTCCTGCAGTAGTAATATTTGTACTGGGCTTGAATTCAACACGAAGGTAGAACTGTACCTTTCTTCTTCCTCTCACGTTTACCAGAAAGGGAACTGCTAAGTTAAAGCAGACGGTCCAGGTGCTTCTGGCAGCATAGATGCAGCCAGGATGCTGCAGAGGCCTTGCAGACTGAATGGCACCGTTTTATGATATGCTTACACTCACTACAAGTCACTAACAAATCCTCTGGAGACTGAAGTTTGCTGTATGTCTGAGTGGGGCTGATTCCTTACATCGCCTGAAGTTGTAGTGCTTTCGGAGAAATAGTGACAAAAGACTTTATTTTCTTTGTCACTATGCAGGCAAACAGGGAAGGAGATAAACAAGGGGGAGTCTGCATTATTAACTTTCCTTCCACCTTCTGCTTGGTGGAATTCAAACTCTTCAGTACCTACCACCTAGAGGCATGCCTGATCCTGCTGTTAGGTGTGTAACAATTGCCTGTAACTGACAGCTTAACCTGTTTCATTCCACCAAGGTCCTCACCTAATTTTTTACTAAAGTGCTGAAAACATGGACTAGGAAGAAATAGACTCATCACATTGGACCCCAAAGTCAGGCAGACACCTAAACAGAAACTTTGAGGACTGAAACCCAAAAACAGACAACTGGCTGTACCTTCTACTAAAGGACTGTGTAATTATATGCATATTCAAAACACTTCCAGAGATGAAACTTGAACTAACAGTTGTAGGACTGCTGTTTTCCAGTTGCACGTGTTTCTTTTCCTTTGTACTATTGTAGGCAGCTGGAGATGGAGGAGAAGTGTTGGGGAAGGAGGGAAGGTTGGTTCGCTGAACCACTAGCACACACAAAATACTCTTGACACCACTAATCCCGAGTGGGGCACAGTTGGCATACATATTTAGATTTCTTTTCAAGTTCGTGCCAAAGTATGCACCAGCAAGTTTAATATCAGGTAAAGCACCTTTTATACTCTTTGTTGTTTAAAAATAATATATTTGTGAAACAGATTGATAATACATAACACTGGAAATGGGTGCGTCTTCCCAAAAGTACACATGTAAAAATAAAAAAATAAACAACCAACATTGCGAATTTATCTGACTTTTAAGCAAGTCTGAAAAGGATAACTATGTAATACAGTTGCCAGTTGTCTGTCCTTTATAATTTTAAATAGATCTGCATTTTAACTTTATTTATTTGCCTTTTTTATATACTTTAAAGTTACACTTTTGAACTTAAGCTAACTTTTTATTTTCCTAGGCTGATACAAAACAGAATTTCAGTATTCTTGTAAACTGCAGACCATTTTTGAATAGTCCTCTGCATTTTCTTATGGACCAGTTACCACTAATGAGTCTGCAGTCCTCCCTTTTTACTGTACTCTTCCAATAAATGTAAAATATTTGTATCAAGCTGTCTCATTTTATTTGTTATTTACAGGATATATCAATTTTCTTCTGTAGTCAAGTGAAAGATCAACTTTAGTAACTCTGTTCTTAGGAATACTACAATTTGAAATATTCTGTATTTCACACGCAAGAAAATCAATAGTATTTTTTAGTTGTTTGGTTTGTTTGTCTGCTTGCTTGCTTGGTTTGTTTGTTTGTTTGTTTTTCCAAATTTTTGGCGTTTTCTGTGTGATTTTCTCACAGTTTGGTGGTCACTTGTCTCCCTTTGTAATTCAGAAGGCACTGAAAGGAGCTATCTGATGGGCACAAGTGAAAGGACTGTCAAACATGGTTCAGAACTTCGGGGCTGGAGCTCTGCAGTTTTGGTGATGCGAGTGACACCACACTGATTTTTCTTTAAGCCAAATTTCTGTTAAGAAGCTAGGTAATGAAAAAAATACATATTTTGCACTCTTAACAGAAAAGCAAGATTTTCTCTGTTTCTACACGTTTAGATTGCAGCATTCTAAATGCATATCCAACCATTGTTTTGTTTCTTTTGCATGATCTAGTGCTCTGTTCACTTTAAAAGGAAAAAAAATCTTACTCATTACTCACACTTTAAATACATTTCATTTTAAATGAGATTGTTTAAAGTTACTTTATATTTTACTTTGAATGAAACCAATCTCCGTAATAATTGCCATTTTCACTATGCTTTGATGCAATTTCTTTGATTTCCATAATCCGTTCTTAGTGTTAACATAAAGACTGTGATATAAAAATTATGACTGAGGTAAAAAATCTGAACTATTATGCTGTAATTTTTTTAAAAATTAATCTTTTCACATTTCATGGCTATAAATACTGAATTGAAAGAACTTTTTCAACTGCTGTATGCTCCCTGCAGTTGCATCTTGTTTAAATACCCAGCAACAGGTGAAAAGATAGGCTTTTCTGTGCCTGCGCCCTTGCACAGTGTTATTAGCACTGTGAGATGGCATAGCAATGGGATTTGCAAGGCTTTGTGCCTGGCTGAAGAAGGAGGTAGCAAAGAAGCAAATTTCTGAGTTGGCGCATAGTTTGTGGTTTGTTTGCTTGTTTGTTTTTAATAATGAAGTGCTACGCTTCCCTCTTACAAACCCTTTGAGGTGCTTCTGTGCACTGTCTCCCAGTAATCGTGAGCAAGAGAGATATAAATCCAAAACTCATCACCTGGATTTACTGGTGTGTGTTGAAACAGAATACAACACAGCATGGGATTGCACATTGCTCTGGTACATTTCTGCCGACACACTTGTTTATTAGCAAGATAATTTTAGGAAAGGTTACTGCAACTAAATCTGTTCCGCTCAGCAACGCCTGGCCTCCGAGTTATGAAGACATGTTGTTTGAAAACCTGCTACTGCCAAACACAGAGCAGGAGAGGGTCATCACGTTTCCTTGTTTGAAGTCACAGCAGTTCATTAGGAGTGAGACTAAAGAAAGGAGAGAAGCCTTCAAGGAAATACGGGCCTTTGTACAGTCCTATACTTTTGTACAGTTTAGAAGCAGATTTAAAAGACTTAGAATTTAAAGGATTAAGTTGGTAAGACTTCTTGGAAGATCCCAAAGGACTTTAGGTAGGCAACTAAGTACCGCTTTCAAGTAGAAGATCATAGCATTTCCCTATTCTTAAGGTGCTTGATTTAACTATTCAGACTCGTTTTCCCCTAACGAACATAACAGTCTGCAGGAGCAAGATGCTCCCGTGCAGGAGCACACATGCCACGATTCCAACACAACCATAATGCCTCATTTCTTATTTCAGTTCAACATGAATTTTCTACTTGGGACTTTTTGTGCCTATCCACACAAAACATTTGGGCACAAAAATGTTGACACTGGATAACAGCACTTACATCCATCCACTTTTGTCTAATTGTCCAATGTTTGTGTGTCAAAGCTAGGTTATCTCAGTCTCTCGGCTAACAGGCATACTTCCCTCCACCTTCGATCCATAATACATATGCAAAATGTTTTGGTACTCAGGTACAAAACCTTCCTTGAAGTTTGGCAGAAATGTTGTTTTTGTTAAATGATGGATATACACCAATCTTGTTAAAAGACAGAGAAGGCTGCCATCTGGATTCTCAGCAGAAATACGTGCCTGCCTTCAGCCTGTCATAAGGGATTTGGGAGTTAAGGGGGAGAGGAGGGGCTGTTCTTATGAATGGACATTTTCCCTTCCATCATTTTCAATCCACTGCCCCACTCCATTTTTTGACTTCCAAGAACCTTGCTCCTGGGTCCTTAATCCTCTACCACCTCTGCACTGAGGAAGCCTAGTTTGGATCAAAGACTACAGGGTGTCCCCATATTTAACTTCTTCAGTGGATCTACCCACCCCTACGCACACCCTAAACAAACACAGGTGTGAGAAAACCTACAGTAAGTCACACTTATTTATCCTGAAGCCCAGGTACCACCACTGAACATTGAGTACAAAGACCCAGCGGTGCTGTGACTGCAAGGCTCTGGCAGGAAAATGGTAGGAAGTTTTGTGTGGTCCCCATCACATACTTTGACTGAGGCTACTCTGCAGCTAGATTTCAGTCCTTCAAGTCACAAGCTACTCATAACAAAAGCAAAATTCAAACATCACTGATAAGGTATGAATTGCATTTGTACATTTTCATCTCAAAGGACATGATACAGATAGATAACCACACACACAGACATAAAAAAAAAAAAAAAAAAAAAAGAGTTAGTAGCATGTGCAAACACCCCTAATCCCGGAATGCACAGAGCACTTTATTAACACAGTTTCGTCACTAACCAGCTCTGCCTCCATCCCCATCAATTCATTGCATGTCTGTCACACTAAATGCCCTGTGGCTAAACAGTCTTCAGAAATGCATCTAGAGTAAAGAAATAAAAGCTATGTGTTGAGCACAGAGAATAATTAGAGACAGGATGCTCTAATTCTCCATTAATTTAGCTCCCATATCTTTCAATGACCTAATATTCTGCAACTAGAAGTGAGGAAAGAGCGAAGACAAACTACTGGTTAGCTCTGAATCCTCAAAAAAAAAAAAAAAAAAAAAAAAAAAAGCCTTTTGGCCATGCTGTAATGGAAAGAAGCACGTATCATCTTCAATGCATATTTCAGGCTCATGATATATTAATTCTCTGGCAGTTCAAGGAAACATGAGATTGCATTAGGTACACTGTAGTACATTGACATATTTTTCTACTTCCTCTCTTAAAAGCTTGTATTGCTAAGTCTAGTTCACTAAAGAGTAGGTACAGAGATGAGTAAGGAGGATATCACAACTGCTAAAAGTGTCTGTACAAGCAGTAGCTATGAAAAAAAGCTACTGATGAAAGCCCATCCTCTTAACACTTACACAGAGAAGTCAGAGCCACTGTAAAATTAGACCAACACAAAACTATAAGGCCTTACATTCAAATTATGACTCCTAAAGACTCTTGTGTTCATCTGAACTCATAGCTCTGTGGGTGCAAAAATCTTTTTCAATACTCTACGACACTGAATTTAAATAAAATAATAATATATAAAAAATGCAGGGACCTACATGTAGAATCATATAATCACAGAATCATTTAAGCTGGCAAATGCCTTCAAGACCATCTACGCTGAGCATCAACCTGACCTACCCAGACCCATCACTAAACCATGTCCCTTAGCACCACATCCGCAAATCTCTTAAATATCTCCAGAGATGGAGACTCCACAACTTTCCTGTGCAGTCTGTTCAATGCTTGACCACTGTTATCCATGAAATTAACTTGGGAACTAACTTGACCATCTGTCAAAGAAATACCTTCAGCAGACTTCAGCTGGACAAGACAGGGCTCGACCTAGTAGATTAGGGTGGTCAAATCCACCTGTAATCTGGGTAAAGACAGAAAGTCAAGATATTTCAGCAGTGAGTCAGATTGAAAACTGGCTGAAAGGACAGACCAAGGGGTAGCAGTCCGTGGTGCAAAGTCTAGTTGGAGGCCAGCAATGAGCAGAGTACCCCTGGGGTCAGTACTGGGCCCAGTCCTGTTTAACTTCTTCATGAATGATCTGGATGGTGAGGTGGAGTGCACCCACAGTAAATTCACAGCTAACAGGAAAGAGGGTAGTGGCTGACACGCCAGAGGGCCATGCTGCCATCTAGAGGGACCTTGGCAGGCTGGAGAGGTGAGCTGACAAGAATCACATGAAGTTTGACAAGAAGGGCAAAGTCCTGCGTCTGGGGAGGAGCACACAGCTGGAAAGCAGCTCAGCAGAAAAGGACCTAGAAATACTGGTAGACAAAAAGTTGAACATGAGCCAGTAACGTGCCATTCTTGCTAAGAAGGCTAATGGTATCTATCCTTGGCTGCACTGGGCAAAGTATCACCAACAGGTTGTTATGAATAGCTCAGTCCCAAAAAAGGAGTATAATCAAAGTTTACAATTTATTAAAATAATAGAGGTAAGCAAACAGCGCTGGGTGCGTCGGGAGTCTCCGCTCCACCTAGACGCACACCAGTTACATCAAGTAGCTGATTTTTTTGCTCCTAGGCTGATACATATTCATTAATATTTCTAAAAAAAACAGGTTATTATAATTAGCTTCCGGGATCCAAACCCTCCTACTGGAGCATGCACATCAGTCTCCAGTGGTCCCCCTGGGGGTCTCTGGGGGTCTTTCATGCTGAAGGCTCGTAGTCTTCCTCTCAGTTTTTTTTTCTTGTCCTTCCCCTTTGTACTCCTTGGCAGCACGTCCAAAGCTTACACAGCGTTCCCTGCAAGTTTTGTCTTCTAGCTGTCCTTCAGCTTCTTTCTTCTCCTTAATCTCCTGGCCACCTGGCCAGATATCAGGGCTTGCATAGTGTCCCATTCAGAAGCCATAGCAGTCACTAGTTGTTAGCAGTTGTTCTGAAACCCCCAGACATCGGACACTTCAAAGAAAGAACATACAAATACAAATAGCTCTCTATTGACACTTCACGAGTTGTTACAACACTCCTCACAGGCCATTCACAGG